AAGTGATACTGGAGCATCTAGAATAATGTCTTTAAATGTTAAGTTGTTATATCTATTCCATGTTTTACTTTGCTATTTTTTCAAACTTGTTTTTTAATACCATTTTAATTCCTCAATATATTAATGATGTCTTAAAATTTTCTAGTTACATTTATGAATTTTGCTTTACTTTCAGTTTCTTTATACCAAAAGCTCTGACATGATAACTTATAATGTCAAAATTTAAAAAATTTTTATGCATTCAACTGTTAAAAATCTTCATTTATCACACTGAATTGAAAGTGGAAGTAAAATTATGAAAATTTTATATTTCATGGCACCCTTGTGAGGAAGCCGCGGCACACACTTTGGGAACCGCTGCACTTAATTATTTATATTTTAATGTAAAATATTATTTATAACTTAGACAAACAGTGAATTAAATAACAACAATTTTTAATGAATATTTATTTAATTAGTTGCATTAATTCTTATTTATCTATTGAATAAATGTTTAATTGATAACAAAATTATTAATTTAGGTTACAAAACTGATTGACAATAGTATGTCTGTGCAATTATCCAAGATAGCCATAGATTCTGATGATCTTTTGGATTGGTTGGCTGAAAATAAAGTATTGTCCATTGCATTAGAAGGTAAGATAATACCCTGCTTTTTTCTCTTTTTTCCAGATTTTGACGTTAAATTATTTTGAAAGTAAATTTCACTCAGTAGTGATGTGGATCAAAAGACACACCAACACACAAAAAGTATTGTTTTATAAAATTTTCTGTTCTTTATAAATATAATTTTTCTCACAATCATTTAAAACACTCATAAACAAACAAACAAACACACACACACACACACACACACACACACACACACACACAATTCAGAAACTGGCACTATATATACACACTTTTCTTTTCTTTAATTAGAAATTATTGGAGAAAATTAATTATAAAATATAATTCCAATCATAATTTTCTCTAATTATTAGACATTTAAATATAAAAAAAAAATTTATCTATTTAATACCTTGTTAGATTTAATTAAAAATAACATTGTACGAGCAAAAACATGTGAATTGTTAAATACTGATTCCTTAGTTTTTGGTTGCACGTATTTAAATTTCTTAGCTACTATATAAGTATATACAATATAAAGAACTGCTCTTTAATTTGAAAAGATCTAAGATCTTGAAAATGTTTTTAAAATATATGAACTGTTAAAAATATATATTAGGTTAATTATTATGAAAACAATTTAAATTGTCTAATTATAGGTAATATAGATCAAGTACAGTATTCTGATAAAATTAGAGGAATCATGGAATTTTTAGGACAAAGACTATCATTAGATGAACTCACTAAAATATGGAATATGCAGGTAAAATATAATATAATATATTGTATTTTACTTTAAAATTAAAATTATATCTAAGCAGCTTATTTCTGGAACTATTTTTGATGGATAAAGGATTAATTCCCTCCTTAATGGATACCATTTTTTTCTCATCAATTTTATTTATATATTAATTAAATAAATTAACTTTTACAAATGAACTGTGTGTTTAAAATTATATTTATTATTCATACTCATAAAGCTGAACAAATTTTTTTAAAAGAAAAATTATTTCAAAAAAGAAATAATAAATTTATTATTATTGTAAAATGTTATAGGATAAAAATTTATGGCTTCTTAATATTTAATTACAGTAGAGCCTCGATTATCCAACACCCAATTAACCGACACCTCGGTTAACCGACCATCCTAGTCGGCAAATTTCAAATGTCCGCTAGTGATGTGGTGCTAAAATATTTGGCTATGTCTTGGCTACTTTAATATTATTTTTATGTGTTTTAGCTGGCCATGAAAGGGAGCCAGTATTTAAACGAGGCTTAATTTTCTAATTTTTAACAATACAATAGTGACGATTATTATTTTAAAAAATTTTGTTAGGCTTAACATCGATGAAAATTCAACGTGAAGTAGGTTAATAGCGATATACTAATATACTAATTACATGGGATATAGTAATATACTACACTAATAATGGATTTTTTCATACTTTTTGGTTATCCGACTTTTCAATTTTCCGACCAACCCCAGTCCCCAATTGAGTCAGATAATCGAGGCTCTACTGTATTAAGAAATAATGTTTTAAACCAGTGGTTTTTAAATTTTTTGTGAAGATTCATTTTTTTTGTAAAAAAAATTCTTACACTTCTTATACTTTTTGTGAAATTATACTTAACATATTTTTCTTAGAATACAAGGTTTGTTCAAAAAGTATCGGACTTTTATTTTTTCTGCGTAAACCAATGATAAGCGGGAGGCCTCTTTCGATGGAGTTGTGGAGGGGACAGTCATGCACAGCCCTGAATTTTTTCCCGCCTGCAGGAAGCGTCAGTCGTTGGCAATCGGCCTATGAGTGACTCCTTTGGTGGAGTTGTGGAGGGGACAGTCATGCACAGCCCTGAATTTTTTCCCGCCTGCAGGAAGCGTCAGTCGTTGGCAGTCGGCCTATGAGTGAGGACATGTAGCGAGCTCTCGTCGGATTTCACTAAGTTGGAAAATGACTGAACAACGTGAGCAGCGATATTACATCAAATTTTGCCAAAAACCTTGGCGATACCTAAGTGTAAACCATTCGCAAGATTCAGCAGGCTTTCGGGGACAATCCTCGAGGCCAAAAAAAGTGCGTCGGGTCTGCGGCAATATCAAGGTCATGTTGACAGTTTTTTCGACTCTCGTGGGGTAGTGTGTCGTGAGTACGCACCAAAAGGCCAAACCATCGCAAAGGAGTACTACCAGGAGATCCTTCGTCATCTTTGTGATGCTGTGCGACGCAAACCACCGGATCTGTGGTCGATCAAAACTTGGTAGCTCCATTGTGATAACGCATCCGCCCATTCTGCGCATCTGATTCAGGCTTTCGTCGCCAAACACAACACTCCTGTGGTTCGTCACGCTCCGTACTCTCCCCACATGGCTCTGTGTGACTTTTTGCTATTTTCCAAGCTGAAAATGCCGCTAAAAGGAACCTGATTTTAGTCGAGAGAAGACATCGTGCGGAATGTGACGGACCGGCTGATGGCCATTCCAAAAGATGCATCCCAGCAGTGTTTCCAGCAATGGCAGGAACGCTGGGAGAAGTGTATACACTACCAAGGAGACCACTTTGAAGGGGATTAGGGTTTTGTACCTCAAAATCAATAAATGTATTTTTGCCGACGAAAGGTCCGATACTTTTTGAACAGACCTTGTATATTTTATTCTAATGAAACAAAGGTTTTCTTAGTTTTTTAATAGGAGATAATTACATTTCAAATAAAGAAAAGTAAAATAGCACACAGAGATAATGACCACTAAATGAAATGAAATTTTGATGATAGAATGACTACATCACAATCATAACTATAACTTTTCATCACATTCCCTAGAAAGTGTCTGATATTCCACTAAGGAGGCACACTCCACACTGTGAGGACCCAACCGAGGTCCGAATCATGTAAATCACGATATTCCTATGATTAAATAATAACGATAGATTAATTATGAGAGGGAGAGGAAAATCCCATAATTTAAACAACGCGGCACAAAATGTAGACAACGAGTCTCGGATGACTTGAACACGTGTTAAACGAACTGTCAATGTCAGAGTGAAAAGTTATAAGTCAGAGACAAGTGGTCATATGCAGGTAGAACTTTGACCCCCGCTCTCATAAACAGTCAATCTAGGGAAACAATTTCTGAAAAGAGGGAAAGATTTAAGAGAGATAAATCATTGCATATGATCGTTCGAGTACCCAGATGACAGAAATCGTGAGTAACGGAGTTAAATTATGAGTGTGAGTCTTGCAATTTTGTCAACAATCCCCAAGAACAATTGACAGAAAGGCGTCGAGCGGACCCTGGAATCGGACCTTTCCTGTGACCTGAGTCGGTCTCGATTTTCCCCAAAACAAAAGAGAGACCAATCGGGAAGCGAGGAAGGGGATGAGGGGCCAATCAGAAGTCCGAATAGTGGGAGAAAAAACTATAAAAATCGGAAAATCAAGGTCAAGAGAGCTCTCCTCCGACTCCACGAAAGGTAGTGACTTCTCTTGTAGTGTGTCGTCGCAAAGAACTGTGGACTCCGCCGCTTATATCTTCTGATCGTCCGCCGTGATCAGCAACAGCATCTCGTCCGCCCCGGGGCTATGACCGATGTCGAAGTTCTCACACTTCGCATCTTCGAGGGAAGAATCTAGTGAAGGACTGTCAATTGCCGATGTAAGCATAAATGTTAACAAATAAATGGCTTTCTTGTGTAAAACACTTTTCATCATTTGCCTCCTCCGTCACCGCCCACATACAACCTTCCCTTAGGTCCATCCTGACGCGGGATTAATAGATCCCACCTAGGAGACGGCAACCTTACACAGGTGCCGTGAAGTGGGTTTCAAGCCCCCTATCTCCCCCGGATCGGCCATCTTACAACACACAGTTTAAGAACCACTGTTTTAAACTAAAATTCTTATAAGTTTATTTATTAATTGTGTCAATTTACTGTTTTTTTGAAATTATTTCTATATTGGATTATTTGATATTTATTTATTTAATTACCATAATTTCATACAGTAACTGTAGACTATGTGTTTAAAAGTCAATTTTAAAGCAGATATGGATTATATACCAGTTGTAAATTGCAATTGCAAACTGAATAAACAGCTTTTTCTTTGTCTGAAATTACTTAGACTCTATTTAGAAAACATGAAAAATCATTTATCTGCTGCAGACATGCTCACCTGCTGTGATTAATTTTTCCTGAAACAATTAAAGACAAACTTATCTTTCTCTACTATTCATTTTCTGTATATTTAATCCATGCTTTAATTGATATTATTAGACATTCCAATTTAAAGCTGTATCTTGAAAGCTAAAAAATTTCTGGTAATTATTCCCTATCTACATAATGATGTTATTTCAAAGATCTTTGATGATTAAGATATGATAAAACAATTGCCATCCTAATAAGTTATGAACTCATTTTTTTTCTTTTTATTTCTGTAATGTGAATTTTGACACAAAATAATTACAGTAGAGCGTCGATTTTCCGAAAGTCAATCATCCGAAACGTCAATCATCCTAAAGAATTCCAGTCGGCAAATTTAAATTTTCGCCACTGCTGTGGCGCTTCCATCTTTGGCTATGTCTTGGGCTACTCAAATATTTTACGTTTTTGATACTAAATTAACATCTGAAGTATAATTTTTTATTGTTTTTATATTTTTCAATATATTTATTTTGTTTGTACAAAATAAAAAAATAATTTTTAATGATACAATAGTCTTTGTTAGGCTTAACATCGATGAAAATTCAACGTGAAGCGACACGCAACGGAGAAAAATTTCGACATCGGATACTTTAAACTATTTTTTCGTACGTAAATCAGTTATCCGGACAACCCCAGTCCCCAATTGATTCGGAAAATCGACGCTCTACTGTATATATATTTAAAATGATAGCTCTAGCTGAACTGTGCAATGTTTTGTTTTGTTTATACACAACAGCATATTTTCTGCCATTTTAGTATGAAATTTAAATTAAATATGATACTAAATTTTGGTTTATTGCTTCGTTTTTTATACTCAACAGTATAAAAAAATCTTTTTTATATTAAACTAGCAGATAAGCCCTGCATTGCTTGGGCAAAAAGTAACAATACCGAAGACTAAGATTATTACATTACAGCCAATCTTACCCATTTTCACAGAATGCAAGAATTAGGTTCTCCTGTTTACAGACTAGAACATTTTTAGATGGGTCTAATATTATGTTCGATTTCCTGCAAAAATGCAAAAAAACCACATCTGCGCCTGTAAATCTTGCACGTTGCTTTCTCTTAACTCTTGCATTGTTGAAACTTTAATCCTGTCCCTTTCCCTGCGGGGGAGGGAATTTTGAAAAATTCCTTCTTAGTGTGTGTACTTGTGATGTACCCTAACTGTGTACCAAATTTTAAGTTTCAACTCCATTTCATCGTGAAATTTCATCGTGAAATGTTCACGATGAAATGCTCATATATACACACACTACCTATCGTAGGATAAATGTACTATGCCAGAACTTAATAATTATATAACATCTACTGCACACCGGACTGTATAAAATAAATATGATGTACTTGAACCTATAACCGATATGTATCGAATAATCTTTCAACGACGAACGTTTTCATAACCCCTTCTGGGCTCTTCTTCAGGTGAAACAGCTGGATCGAACACCAAAAACAAAATTTGAATAAATACAAACTCTGTTGAGTTTGAATCGTTTGGATCGTTTGCTTGTTTCGTCACGTGATATGTTTGAACGTGATCGAAGTTAACGATCAATGTCCAAATTCAAGAGAAAGATATTATTATGATACTTAAAAAACGTGCGATTGAGATACATACTTATTCAATACTGTTCTCACATGTTCCCCAGTACCTTCTATTTTTATTTTTTATTTTTTATTTTAATATTTAATAAATAGTATTTCGCTGTTACTCTTTATGTAGTAGGTTTTGCCATGCCATGGAAAGGCTGATTTCGTCTCTTGAATTAATACAAGTGGATGTGTCGTATGCTCTAAAAATTTCCATCTCCTCCAACCATTTTAGATGGTGAGTGTGCGGTGTGGTGACAATTATCTGCGCTCTATTGAAGTCCGCCACTATTTTGGGATCAGTGGTGTAGGTGGAGAGTGATGTTGTGTGTCTGTTGCGTTGTACATCCGAGATGTGCTCTTTTATCCTAACCCCTAATGAATGTTTAGTCGATCCTACATATACCAAATCCCTGTTAAACCGGTTATCTCTTAGAGGGATTGTATAGACACCTGATAACTTCTCCATCCTGGATTGGTCCTTTTTGTTGCGTAGGAGGAGTGTGAGAATTCAGGGTGGAGAAATTATCAGGCGTCTATACAATCCCTCTAAGAGATAACTGGTTTAACAGGGATTTAGTATACGTAGGATCGACTAAACGTTCATTAGGGGTTAGGATAAAAGAGCACATCTCGGATGTACAACGCAACAGACACACAACATCACTCTCCACCTACGCCACTGATCCCAAAATAGTGGCGGACTTCAATAGAGCGCAGATAATTGTCACCACACCGCACACTCACCATCTAAAATGGTTGGAGGAGATGGAAATTTTTAGAGCATACGACACATCCACTTGTATTAATTCAAGAGACGAAATCAGCCTTTCCATGGCATGGCAAAACCTACTACATAAAGAGTAACAGCGAAATACTATTTATTAAATATTAAAATAAAAAATAAAAAATAAAAATAGAAGGTACTGGGGAACATGTGAGAACAGTATTGAATAAGTATGTATCTCAATCGCACGTTTTTTAAGTATCATAATAATATCTTTCTCATGAATTTGGACATTGATCGTTAACTTCGATCACGTTCAAACATATCACATGACGAAATAAGCGAACGATCCGAACGATTCAAACTTAACAGATTTCGTATTTATTCAAATTTTGTTTTTGGTGTTCGATCCAGCTGTTTCACCTGAAGAAGAGCCCAGAAGGGGTTATGAAAACGTTCATCGTTGAAAGATTATTCAATACATATCGGTTATAGGTTCAAGTACTGTACATCATATTTACTATGCCAGAAACCTTCATGGGCGTGTATTAAACAACTTCCCAAAGTTCATGGCAATTGGATAAATGGTGTAGTAATGCATGAAGGACACAGACATACATTCATTTTTATATATATAGATAAAGTAACATCCACATATAATTTAAAATGTTATTAAATAACTTTGAAGTTAGAAAATAACAGTAAAATACTGTAAATCTTTGCAAAACCTTTTGTAAACAGTAATTTGATTACTAAAACAGAATTTCAACATTTTATTGTATGGATTTGATCTATTATAATTCATTACCAAATAATAAAATATGTTTTGTCAAATGAGTTATCTGCCAAAGGACAAAATTTTTTTATTATATTGTTTTATTTATTAAATAATATTAACATAATATAATAATACTTGTTAAAATAAACTTTAAAAAATTAAATAGAAAATAGTCAATCAGTCAATTTTGTTTAACTTTTTGGATTACAAACTTCTTGGTTGGGGTAAATATAAGTTACAAATGTTAGATATCTAACATAAGTTAATTTTCTTTTAAAAGTTCCAAGCAAAATTATTACGAAATAATAATTGTACATCTTTAATAGAACTGTTAACAAACTTAAATTAGTAATCTTTATTTAATGTTTTTTTAGTTTATTTTTTAACAGTTATTGCTATATATTTTATTAATATTATTTGATAAATAATACAGAAATGAAACAAATTTAATAAAAAAGTTGCTATTAAATTAGCCATTTGTATCTTTGACACATGAAGTTTAGCAGATTTCCTCTTAGAATTGATTTTTTGTTCCACTTATTATATAACAAGTGAAATAGAAAATATTTTAATATTTGAGAATGGTACCTTGTAAATTGCATACTCATATGTGTCATGCTTTCAGAGGATGCTTTATTGTGGGATTACTGTTTCAGCATTTTCTGCATGATATATGCCAGTGTGGGTTTTATGCCACCACTGAATATTCACATGAAATTATGGTAATTAAATAAATTAGTAACTAATAATGCAGTATAAGTTTTTAAAAGTATTACTATTATTTCTTTTGAAATTAAGATAAAGATTGAATTAGGTAAGTCAAGTTTAAAATTGTTTCTAAGCAAGTAAAAGAATGTTGAAGTTATTTTAAATATTCAAAAAAAAAAGAAGCCAAAACTTTTTTCTACTTTAATGTTTTTGAAACTGTTAGACCATAGTTTTCTTAAGTTACATAATAAATATATTGTAAATAATTATACTTAGCAACAGATTTATATTAATGTTTTTGATTTGTTAATTTTCATATTTAAATTTTTATTTTGAGTGATAGGAAGTCTTAAAAAATTTAGAATTTTGAATATATTATTACTATTATTATTATAATACTATTACTGTTATTATATTATCCATTAGATAGTAATTTGAGAATCTGTCTTTGAATTATTTATTGTGTATAATAGATTATTTATGATTTCAAAATTATCTTATATGTACGAAATTTAATTATAATATAAATGCTGATATATAAGTTGCTAGTTTAGTTCATAAATGAACTATAAGTACCAGATGAATGTTTTCCAAGATAAAAATTATAAATATAAAATAAAAATGAAATAAAAATCTGAATTTATAAATTTAAATTGATATTATTTTAAAACAAGATATACATTACTTAAAATTCTTAGAATTATTTATTACATAAAAAGAGCAATACTTCATTTAACTAAGAAAGAAAACACGATAACTGTTATTTATGAATACACATTTAACAGTTACAAAGTAATTTAATTTCAGTTAAAGTTATGAATTGAAGGATGTGATTTAGGAAATCAATATTGCACATCAGAAAATAAGAAAAAATAATCCTGTTTTAGGAAAAGCTACTAGTGAAGAATGTAATGAAACTTTTTGTTTGTAATTTGATATTAACAGTCATACAAATTTACTGTTATAGATTGGCATATAATTTAAAATTCTAGTGAAATTGTCATCAATATTTCTATAATAAATACTTTTATCATCATTTACATGATTACTTTAAATATTTATTCTGTTTCTGTTCTTCATATAATTATGCACATTTGTAAGATATGTTGTGTGATATAGTAATGTTTGAATAAAAATCTAAATTATAATTTTCATTAATTTTGCATTTATGGCTTCTAATGTGCATGTATATAAAAAAGTGGATAAAAATTTTGTTAAAAATACAAAGTTAATAGAAATAATGAAAAAAAAATCTGAAAAAATTAATACACAAATAACTTGTTAATTAGAATTTTATTCAATTTTTTCTTGAATATTAATAATTTTTTAATTACAAATACTGAATAAATTCTGAATTAAATCAATTTACTTCTAATGACTAAATTTAACAGATGACAACTTCACTGCCTACATTTAGTCCAAATTGCTTAGTATCTTATTAATTAATTAGTGATGTTGTAGCCCACTAAGAATTTGTTGTATTGTTTTATTGTTAATTAATTTTTTATTCATATTAGGTTTTGTTACAAGTAAGAAGTAAATTTGCTAGATAAAACTGTTAAAATTATGAATTTTAAAAAATGTATTTGTTTATTCAATATATAGGATTAATTTATAGTTATGTTAATATGGATAGTTAAATTTTGCTTGGAGTTAAGTTTTAGCCAGAGCTATGGAGTCATTTAAAAATTTACTGATTTCGACCAGGCCCAGAAATTCTGATTTCATCATGTGACCTCAGAATAAAAGCTTCAATAAATAGAGTTCTAATACAGATAGAATGTAGACACATTTTTATTCCAAAGCTAAAAGACTCCTGTAAGTAATGACACAGTTAATATATAAATATGTATTTGATAATTTTTACTTTTCCAGCTGTTAGATATAACAGAGGGATTTTTACATTTTTTGACTCAGGACACCTTGAAATGTTGGTATATGCAAAAGATTTGAGGGTTTTCCTCCCTGTATGTATGGATGTTAGAATGTGTAGGGGCATGATTTTGGTCATCTTGTTTGAATCGTAATAACTTCTGTGGTTTTTGAATCGGAGTCAGATGGTTTAACGCAGGAGTTTTTAAGTTTCAAAGTGGTTGAAGTTTAATGAAATCATGCTCTCCCACACATTCTAGCATTTATGCACGCAGAAGAAACATCGAATATTTTTGCACTTCTTAATGTTTCAAGGCATCCTGAATTCAAAAGAATAAAAATCTGAGGAAGCCATTTTTTAACTGATTGTCATTCTTTTTATTTGTTATAAGCGTATACTGTATAACAGCTGGGAAAGTAATATATACATGACAAGTTGGGAAAGTAAAAAGGAATCAGAGTCAGCAGATTTTTGATGACTCTGACTCTGACTATGACTAAAAGACTCCACAACACTGATGCCACAGCCCTGGTTATAACCATAAATTTTCTCTCATAATTTATGTAACATTTAAAAAAAAATCAATTACAAATTAATATCAGAAACATGTTTATTTCAGAATGGACAAAATGCTCAGATTGTGGACAATGTGCATTCAATTATGGCTGCTGCATCATCTAAATTCAATCAAGAACAATTTCATCATTTATTATCACTTGCTCAAACTGTAAGATTTTTAAAAAGTTTTATTTTATATTTTGTATTCATTACTCTTAAATAACATTAAATTTCTTATTCATAAAATTAGATATATTGAATTCAAACTTTAAAATAGTTTTGCTTATTGATTTTAATTAAAAATAAGAAAGTAAAATGTATATATCAATCTATCATAGAGCTTTACTCATAAACTTTAGACACTGTTCACTAAGAAAGTTTGATTTTTTGTTTCTCATACCTTAACAAGGTTTAGAATTATAATAATTAAATTAAAACATTAGTATTAAGGTGAATTTTGTGAGTTACATGATTCAAACTAATGCTTAATAATAGACCTCTATATTAATTTAGTTTTCTTAAATGTCTGATAAAAAAATCACTTATTATTTATTTGCTAATAAGTTATAATTGAATAGAACTAATTGAATGTGCAAGTAGTGGAATATTTAGAATCTTTCATGTTATTTATTAAGTAACTACGTGACAGTTATTTACAATTTATTCAAATATAATATGATTGCACTGTGTTTAATAAAAATAAAAATATTCAAATTGAAGAATAATGTAACTATTGCATCTTAAAAATATTTGTAAAATCTGTGAAGAGAATTCCAAATATTGTTCTCAATGATGTTTTAAAAATTACTTTTCAGTAATTATAATTAAGACAAAAATCTCATTTTAGTCATCTAGTTTCAATTAACAATATTTTGAAATCACAATCGAAACATTTATGTTAAATAACATAAATTACAGAACTTTAATTAAAGTTCACACATTGATAAAAAGTTCCTAAAGTTGATGAAGTAGCTTTTTTCTTCATCCAACAGAGTTAAATGAATGGCAGGAATGATTTAAATTTCTGGATTATGACAGTAGCCTACAAAGAAATGTCTGTTGGAATAAGGCTGTTTTGCCATTTTAGGAACTTTAATGCTAATGCATAAAGTTTAATTTTAATTCTGTAATTTATTATATGTTTTTAAATATAAATTTTGGCAAAGACAAGTATTTAATTGTTTACTATTATGTAAATAAAATGTTTATTTTACATAATATTTTAAAAATTATTTATTTTTAAAATTTCTAAATCTTTGTTCAGATGAATTATTATTAAAAATATATAAATCACATTTTATGTAATTTTATTAATATTTTAGTTAGGAAAATTTAATAGTATTTGTATGTTTTTTGTTTTCAAGTGTTTAAAGTTTTTTTTATTATGAATAAGTATTGGTTATTAAATATCATGTTACATTAATTTAATTATAGGTATTGGATTTACTATGGGACTTAGCTCATTCTCCGCTTATATCTACTTCTTTAATAGAACAAATATTGGTTGAACATTTTACTATTTTAGCTGAAGTATCGCATAAAGATCAAACAAAAAAGAATTATATTCTTNTGAGTAAATATAATTTATAGCATTTTAGACTTCAAATTTATTATCAAAAATATTTGACAGAAAATAAGATTTATTTTGAAAATAATGTATTTACATTCTACACACAAAATGTTTGAAACAAGTAAATTTTAATTTTGATATTATTTTGTGAATAATAAAAGATACTATATTATTTAAATTAACTGGACAATCTTTAATAATTTATATTAAATTGGTATAACTTTTTATATTAAAACTAGCAGGCATGTGTCATAATCATGCTGTTAATGTAAATTTTGTATATTAGGAATATAATACAGATTTTGTTTCAGTGAGATTGTATTTGTTTTCATTACATTTATATAATTGTATGGATGTTTAGGAATCCATATTTACGTATCAGTGTATATAAATTAGGATCATCCGTAAATTATTTAACACTATTTTTATACTTTTTAACTACAATCCCATACTTCTGTAATGTTTCATAACATATCACATATTCACACATCCCCAAACTTTTGTAGTATATCTTTAATCAATCTTTAGGAATAATACAAAGCATCGGGTGCTGTAAGTTACATTATTTTATTAATTACCTGTATAACAAACAAAACAGGATTGTAAACAGTACATTTTATTACGCAACTCTTCAGAAACAAAAATGAATCATTCTGTTACCAAAGGGTTGAGATCAGAACATTATGCAATGTTTTTGCAAACAACCTTACCCCCTGTATTTGATAATTTAAAATTATATGATTAAAAATTTTTGTTTTAAAAGCTTTGATATTTTTCCAGACAGCACTTCATGATCTTAATAAAGCACATGACATTGTAAAAATGGTTACAGCAAGTTTATCAAGATGTCACAAACAAGCAGTTTCAGCAGCAGATGGTAAACCATTAATGCCAGAAACATTGATTGAGAATCGATATTCTCATGAAGAGGTAATGAATTCTTTGTAATATATAATGTATATTTATTTTATGTTTTTGATGACGTATTAATATTTAAATCTAGAAATTAGAAAACAATTATGATATTTAAAGCAGTATTAATATTTAAATGTTGTGTAATGATGACATTATACATCTTTTATAATAAATCTGTTAGGTATGCCAGAAAGTTGTATAGTTTTTCAGATAAATTTGTTAAATGTTACATTCATCAGTTCATATTGACTTTGAATATGTCAGAGGGATATGTATTAATTGAGCAAAACAAATTTAACAGAAAGCAAATATCTTCTTTTCTTTTTTGCATAAGCAACAAGTGGTTCACCAAACAAATTGCTCCAAACAAAACAAACACCAAACAAGAAAAATTCACCAAACAAATTGCTCAAATTAATAGTAGCATTAATTTGAGCAACTTGTTAGTTTAGTGAATTGTTTACATCAATTATGCAATGGTGGAGAAAAATGAATTGTTTACATCAATCATGCAAGAAAAACTATCAACATATTTTAAAATTATTTATTTAAATATGTGTTTTACCTTTGAGTAAATATAATTTATAGCATTTTAGACTTCAAATTTATTATCAAAAATATTTGACAGAAAATAAGATTTATTTTGAAAATAATGTATTTACATTCTACACACAAAATGTTTGAAACAAGTAAATTTTAATTTTGATATTATTTTGTGAATAATAAAAGATACTATATTATTTAAATTAACTGGACAATCTTTAATAATTTATATTAAATTGGTATAACTTTTTATATTAAAACTAGCAGGCATGTGTCATAATCATGCTGTTAATGTAAATTTTGTATATTAGGAATATAATACAGATTTTGTTTCAGTGAGATTGTATTTGTTTTCATTACATTTATATAATTGTATGGATGTTTAGGAATCCATATTTACGTATCAGTGTATATAAATTAGGATCATCCGTAAATTATTTAACACTATTTTTATACTTTTTAACTACAATCCCATACTTCTGTAATGTTTCATAACATATCACATATTCACACATCCCCAAACTTTTGTAGTATATCTTTAATCAATCTTTAGGAATAATACAAAGCATCGGGTGCTGTAAGTTACATTATTTTATTAATTACCTGTATAACAAACAAAACAGGATTGTAAACAGTACATTTTATTACGCAACTCTTCAGAAACAAAAATGAATCATTCTGTTACCAAAGGGTTGAGATCAGAACATTATGCAATGTTTTTGCAAACAACCTTACCCCCTGTAACATCATAATGATTATCTGCATACTCATACTCATATCTACATTATGTAATTTATGGAGAGCCCTTATGTTTTAGAACACAGAATAATTTAAAATTAATTATATTGATTAGCTATGTGTGAGATGGATACTTGTGATAAAAAGTTATGGAATGTAAAAATTTTAATTAAAAAGTTATTTTAAAAAGTTAAAAAAATAAATTTTAAAAGGTAAAATAGAATTGCACTAGTAACAAAACTGGATGTGTTGTCATTATCATCATCATCTGGAATAGGAATCGTTTTCATCTCAAACAACTATGAACACAAAAGTAATTAGGAAAGTTTTTAATAAATATATAAGTACAGTCATACCCCGGACTTACGTGATAGGTGGAACCGAGCGATAACCGCGTAAGTCGAATTTGCGTAAGTCGGGGTATAATTTTGCATATAAATACATACAAATTATTTTTAATTGGGACCGGAGACTAAAAAAAACAATAATTTAGAAAAAAATGTTTAATAAAATCTTAGATAATACATACGGATAACAAATTATATTATTATACAATTTTTCACATTAACTTGATTATCACACCATAATTTTAACATTGTTTCCATCTCAGCGATAATACCGTGACGTTTACGAATGATGCTTGAATTTAAAGATTGAGCATTTTTCACAGCTTCGAGAATTTTTTCTTTACCTTTTATAATTGTTCTGACCGTCGATTCCGGTAGATCAAACTTCTTTGCCAATTCACAAATTTTCATTTTTGTATCGAAGTCTTTAATAATGTTAACTTTACATTCCAAAGATAAAGTTTTTCTTTTCTTGTTTGATGCAGAAGAATCAGTTCTACTTCGTTTGGATGACATAGTAGAGTGTTAAGATTAATCATATTCGTTATTGTAAACCGCGCTTAAGTTAGGCGCCATCTGTTCATTTCTTTTGTATGTCCGACGATCAAAAGACCGCTTGGGATCGAGTCTGTTTATAATTTGAAAGGTAATCTTGTCAGTTGTATATACAAAAGGTAAATTGTTTACAAAATGAGTCTTTGTTTATTATCTGATAAATGTATACTTTTTTCGTCAATTGTTCACGATTGCAGATGCCTTTGTGTAAAATCCAAGTAGGATGTATGTAAGCTAATAAATGTTCTCGTTAATCTTATCTCGCCATTTGGTTCGTTCACGGTTACAAGAAATCACCACATAGAGTCTCTCGAGTCTCCGTAGATATAACAAACAGAAATAAATTTCACAAAATAAATTGTAGCTATGCGTCGATTCCGCGCGACACGTCCGAACATGTAAGCTGGACAATAGTGTGGGGGGAGTGAATAATCAAGAGTTGCGTGGCGCTCAAACAAAAGATGAATCGACGAGATTTGAAAATCGCGTAACTCCGGGTTCGCGTAAGTCAGGGTAGCGTAAGTCGGGGTATGACTGTACTCTCAAAATATGTGCATATTACTATCAATATGAACTTTTAAATAAAAATTACTGTAAGTACTTTAAATTATTGATTAAATCTTTGGAGTGAGAGAGAGAAATAGTGGTGGCACTTTTAGTTTTCTGGAGTATGGTGTTAGACTTATATGATTGACAGAATATAGACCATGTCTCTTAGATGGACTGATAGTGATTGGCTGTGCGTGACATTTTTTGATCTTATTACTTTATAATATATATATAATTTATTTATAGATATTGAAATTGATTTTTTAGTTTTTTCTTTATTAATAAATGTTTCAATAATGTATGAAATTTATGAACTATTTATAAATACAACAGAATCTGCTTATTGAAATCATGGATATTGCTATCATTTGTTTAATGCTATCAGATTTAGCAAGTTATAAAGCTACATAACTTAAAATACATATATAAAACTTTGTATATTTTAATTAGAATTTGCTTATAGTTGTTATCATTGAGTGAATAGGCAAAAAAATCATTGTGAATGTGTCTCTTTAATCCGATCAATTCAGTTCGGTAGACTATCAATACAGCTTTCAGGTTAGATACTTCTTTTATTGTTTTGACAAATGCATTTCGGACTTATATGAATTTTAAGTCCCTCTTCAGTTCAAAACTGTTTTCTCCATCCATTTGTATCCAATATGCATTTGTATCCAAAATGCATTTGTCAAAACAATAAAAGAAGTATCTAACCTGAAAGCTGTATTGATAGTCTACCGAACTGAATTGATCGGATTAAAGAGACACATTCACAACGAAATAGCAGCTACCATAAGTGATATTTAGACAAAAAAATCATCTTTGCATCCCATTTGTTTTACTACATGGCTAATAACAAGCAATTATTATCAATTATCAATCTTAAGGAGTGCTATAAATGTTAAACATTATTGTTTTAACTATTATTTGCTTGCAGCACAATAGTTTAAATTGCTGATATTTCTTTTTTTCAGTTATATAATAATTGTTATTAAAGACAGTATAGCAAGCAATCAATACTGAATGAAATACAGGTAGGCCTCCTACAACGCGGTACCTTTACAACACATTTTCGCTCCAATGCGGTTGGAAAAATGCAGAAATTTTCTTACAATGCGGTACTTTTACAACGCGGTTTATGGTATTTAGAAACGAATTATCTTTCACATAACAGAAAAATCTCATCGGATCACTTAATATGCGCCACAGTTCGGTGTACAGAGCTAAATATCTTCGAAAGCAGCTGTTTGTTCACGTTGATGTGTTATTCCCATGAAAGTTTCAGGGGAAAACCGGTTTCTAGACAGATCTGCATCAGTTACCATAAACACTCAAATATATCACTGAATTTTTGATAATTTATACTCTTTCAATAGGTGGGGACTGCAAAAAAGGTCCAAAATACAGTATAAACTTCTATTGGGTGTATATTTTTAACAACATAGTGAAGGGAAGTTATTTTTTGCAATTTTTACTGTCCACAAAACTGCTTGAAAAAATTTTAGCCATAACAGTGTTGAATGAAAAGAAAGGACCGTCATTAGAAAGGAAATTTATTAATATATCTCTTCAAACAAAGATAGAAATTTTGGATCAAATTAAAAATCAAGAGTGGATAGCTGATATTGGTAGGCATTTTAATTTAAATGAGTCAACTATTCGGTCGATTAAGCAATAGGAAGAAAAGATTAAGAATTCAGTCGCATCCGGATCATCTATTCTTGCGAAAAATGTTGCTCGTCCGACAGCACCTGTAATGAAAAAAAAATGGAACAAATGCTAATATTATGGGTAGAATATATGAACAAGAAACGGTTGCCTTTAAATAAAAGTGCAGTTAAACNTAAGTCCCTCTTCAGTTCAAAACTGTTTTCTCCATCCATTTGTATCCAATATGCATTTGTATCCAAAATGCATTTGTCAAAACAATAAAAGAAGTATCTAACCTGAAAGCTGTATTGATAGTCTACCGAACTGAATTGATCGGATTAAAGAGACACATTCACAACGAAATAGCAGCTACCATAAGTGATATTTAGACAAAAAAATCATCTTTGCATCCCATTTGTTTTACTACATGGCTAATAACAAGCAATTATTATCAATTATCAATCTTAAGGAGTGCTATAAATGTTAAACATTATTGTTTTAACTATTATTTGCTTGCAGCACAATAGTTTAAATTGCTGATATTTCTTTTTTTCAGTTATATAATAATTGTTATTAAAGACAGTATAGCAAGCAATCAATACTGAATGAAATACAGGTAGGCCTCCTACAACGCGGTACCTTTACAACACATTTTCGCTCCAATGCGGTTGGAAAAATGCAGAAATTTTCTTACAATGCGGTACTTTTACAACGCGGTTTATGGTATTTAGAAACGAATTATCTTTCACATAACAGAAAAATCTCATCGGATCACTTAATATGCGCCACAGTTCGGTGTACAGAGCTAAATATCTTCGAAAGCAGCTGTTTGTTCACGTTGATGTGTTATTCCCATGAAAGTTTCAGGGGAAAACCGGTTTCTAGACAGATCTGCATCAGTTACCATAAACACTCAAATATATCACTGAATTTTTGATAATTTATACTCTTTCAATAGGTGGGGACTGCAAAAAAGGTCCAAAATACAGTATAAACTTCTATTGGGTGTATATTTTTAACAACATAGTGAAGGGAAGTTATTTTTTGCAATTTTTACTGTCCACAAAACTGCTTGAAAAAATTTTAGCCATAACAGTGTTGAATGAAAAGAAAGGACCGTCATTAGAAAGGAAATTTATTAATATATCTCTTCAAACAAAGATAGAAATTTTGGATCAAATTAAAAATCAAGAGTGGATAGCTGATATTGGTAGGCATTTTAATTTAAATGAGTCAACTATTCGGTCGATTAAGCAATAGGAAGAAAAGATTAAGAATTCAGTCGCATCCGGATCATCTATTCTTGCGAAAAATGTTGCTCGTCCGACAGCACCTGTAATGAAAAAAAAATGGAACAAATGCTAATATTATGGGTAGAATATATGAACAAGAAACGGTTGCCTTTAAATAAAAGTGCAGTTAAACACAAAGCCTTAAAAATATTTGATTATTTAAAACAAATGGGACAGTCGTCGGCTGATGAAACCAGTGTTAAATTCGTGGCTAGCAATGGCTGGTTTGAAAAATTCAAAAAACGCCATTCAAACGGCAAGTTTTTCTCTTTTTAGAACTGAATCCCAGTTTTTGTATTAAGTTGGTGTCTCCTATAACGCGATTTACCACAACACGGTATTTTCAAGGAACGTATCTACCGTGTTGTAGGAGGCCTACCTGTACTATTAATTAATAATTATAATAAATACATTTTCAAGTCATACATTTTTTAATTGTCTAACGTGTCCTTTTAATGTCAGAGTCAATAAAACAAATTTCCATTAATTATAATCTTATTTACTTACTATGAACTTCAAGAATAACTGCATTTATAAAGGTGTAAGTTTTTGTAAATTATTTATTTACACCACTTAATGTTATATATTTGGCTATTATTATCAGTGTAGGTAGGCAAATCCCAGTGATTACAATAAATGGATTCTACTGTATATATGATGATTAATGATGGAAATGTAACTTTTTGTGTATGTATTATAGTATTTGATCGAGCATTTGAATTTTCTTCAATTTTTGTTGCAAGAAGGAGCACAATATCTACCATGGAATAGAGCTAAGGAAATATGGGATACATTAGTATCAAATCCAGATGCTTGTGATAAAGATAGAGAGGTAAAATATTAAAACTCATTATTTTATTTTACATTATAATAAGAATAATAATATCTGTAATCTAAATTTTTATATTACATCAAAAACTTTCTGAATATTTAAATAAATAATTTAATGCATTTGTTTTTTGTATTTAATTTTTTAGAATAAATTTTAAATGTTACAGAATATATTTATAGCTTGTGAAGCTTTTATTAATTAATTTAAACAATCAAGTATTAATTTTTCTAAGCTATTTTTATGAAGAAAATTTGATTAATTAACAATTTAATTTGTATTGCTGTTTCATACATGGTTTAATAATTATAATTAATTAATAATTTGGAAATATTTAAATAAAAGATTGATCTCAAACAAGGTATAGATTCTATCACCATTTATGTTCTTTACTAAACTTATATGTAATATACATTGCTTATATGTATATTACATTGCTTAAGCAGCAGCAGCTTAATTTCTATAAATCTATGTTGTGGGAAAAAGTTATAATTACTTATAATTTTTTTTCATGTTGGAAAGTTTTTGATAAATGCACATTTGTATTCTGTTGATTTTTAATTTTGATACTGTTCAATTAATTCATTTTGATATTTACATCAAATTTTTAATTTTGCTAATTTTAATAAAAAGATAAATAAATAATTGAATTTTCTGTTTTAGATATGCTTTGAATGGTTTAGCAAATGTTTACAAGATTTAGAAATTGATACACAGTCTCAGTTATTTCAACAGAAATTATTAAAAATGGATCCATCACAAGTAACACGGAAAGGTTTGTTTTAAATAAGTATTTTAAAAAGTTTGGAATAATGTAATATATGCTCAAAATGGTTAGCTATGGCTGTGTAACAAAATGAAGGGCAAACAATAAATATGGAACACATGATTTTGTTGAAATTTCTGTTGAACTGTAATAAAAATGTGCAATTTTTGCTGCTAGTTTTTGTAATGTTGCATTATTCCAAATATTTTTGTATAGACTAGTATGTTATTCACGTCAAGTAATATTAATAAGCAGTAAAACTCTACACATAGTGAGTTTTATTGCTTAATAAATATTTTTGTGTTTTTATTTTCCAGTATTATATGTAATTTTTTGACTAATTAATTTATTCTAGAAATTTGAAAACTTTGTTGTTGGGAATTACATAGTCAAGCATATTAAAGCAATTTCAGTACAACAAAGCAATAGCAATATAGATGTGTTTCTGTTAAATTAATAGAAACATTCTACTATTTTTATCTTTTTAGTGATTTTTACAATGACTCATTCATTGTCATTTATTATTCTTTTTCTTTCTATTATCAATAACTTCTACAATTTTTTCTGTGTTCAGTTATAACTAATAAAGAATTTGATTTTATTCAGTATGAAAATAAATTTTACAATTGTAATAAATAAATTGAATAAGTAAAACAAAATGGTAACTTGTTTTATTATACAAATTAATAAATAAATGAAGCATACAGAAGAAATATCATTTATTAAATCATTCTACTCATGGTACTACTTCCACTCATTCTACTAAAATTTGTATAATAAATTGAATAAGTAAAACAAAATGGCAGCTTGTTATTAATGTCCATGTGTATTGAATTAATGTAACACGATCTTCTATATCTCTTCTAAAGATCCAACTTCTAGAACTATAAATGCATTTTATGAATTAGAATTTTATTGTTGAAATATGATGTTATAGAGTTCGGTTTGTTGTTTTTTTCTTTTGTTGAAGCATGAGTAGAATGATTTAATAAATGATATTTCTTCTGTATGCTTCATTTATTTATTAATTTGTATAAATAACATTTTTTAATATATATTTGTGAATTTATTTCTATCTTTGTTTAATTATTTTTGTTCAAATTACACATACATATGTTTTATAATTTCAAAATATTATAAGTTATAGAATAGTTTACATATAATTTATAATTAAGTTTAAAAATGCTAATACTTTCTTGAATTGGAGATTTATATTAGTATATTTTTTAAATTATGAATAAGCTTGTAATGAATAAAATATATGTAGTGGAGATTTTTTAGATTTTTAATAAAAATGTTTTAATCTTTAGGTTTTGCATGCTTTATGACCTATTTTGAAAAAGTTAATACTTCAGAACATAAATTGAAAAGATCAGGATCCACTACTGTAAGTAAATATAATTGAGTATTGAGTTTTTAATGAACATTTATCTGGGAAATGACATTTCTCTGCATTTAATGTGATCATTTATACATTTTTTTTAAAAAAGTAATAAATGAACATAATACAAGAAAATGATTTATAATTATTTTCTATGATATACAAAATTGGTCTAATTGTAATTTTCATATAATTAGAGCAATTTGCCTTATAAATAAGGTAAATTTTTATATAAATACTAGCTGCAAGTACTTGCTTCACTGGGTTTTTATTTGTTCGTACATTTATATGTAACATAGTTTTTTTTACATAAAAGGCTGTTTCTGTTCCTCTACATAATCTTTCTCTGATTCGATATGCTTCCCTATAANGTTTCCCTATAATTTTCAAGTTGCTCTTCTGTCTGATTATTTCTGTTTCATTGATAATTTTCTCGTAGCAATGTTAGATGTACTTCTCTTTCTTCTGTGGTTTCATTTCTCCGCACCGTCTTTTACCTTTGACTTATGATTCGAGACCGCAAAAATTCTTTCTTACGCTTTGGCATTGTTTTGTATATTTTTACTTTTCACACTTCACTATTCCCTTTTCACTTTCTACTTTTTTCTGTTATTCGTACACTTTCATTAATGAAAAATCACTGAAGCATGTGCGTCACACGTCTCCAAATGTTATCCCAACTACTCACACACAACAATCCTTGACTATTCCAAAACATTTTCGACTATTCGAAAACATTTAAGATTAAGATTACATTATAGCCAATTTTACCCGTTTTCACAGAATGCAAGAATTAGGTCCCTCGTTTCCAGACTAATTAGAGAATTTTACATGGGTCTAAAAATATGTTTGATTTCCTGCAAAAACGCAAAGAAAACGCATCTGCACCTGTAAATCTTGCATGCCACTTTATCTTAACACTTCCTTTGTTACTCAACACTTCCATAGTTAACACTTCCATTGTTAACAGTTTCATTGTTGACACTTCCATGTTACACATTTTAGAACTCAACCACTTTCAACTGCATATCTCCCACACCCTTATCACCATTGATACGCAACCGCCATAGTGCGTGATGGGAGACTTGGGGCTACTACCACACAAACACCATTCATGTGCGATGTGTAGTTTCGGCTGCAGAGTGAAATATAGGCACACACACGTCCATTTATTTGTATATATATATAGATAAAAACAAAGTATGATATATTAGTATAAAAAATAATTAATGGGGTTTGCTATTTTATATGAATTTCTGCTTACATGAGAGGTCTTGGAAAAGTATTGGTTGTTTATGGCAAATGTTACATATGGTATTGTTTTAGATTGTGTATATAAGATGCCATTTACTTGAAAAAATAGATTAAAAGTGTTTATCTTAGAATCAAGGAAATATGGTATTTTATTTATGATTTGTTTGTTTTATAACATAATAAATTTTTAATTAAACATTTATATGTTTTAATAGGTAGTTGAAAAGAGTGATCTTACAGGAATTGATTTTTTATGGCAAGTTGCCTTAGCTTCTCCTCATGAAGATATAGCAGAATTATCAATTGTAAATATTTTAGATGCATCATATCATTGTCTTTCACAAAAACTGAAAAAGGTGAGGATTTTTTAGATTTATTTTTCATTTAAACTTTAACATATTAGATTTTATCAATAAGACATGTTTTATTGATAGGTTACAATTAAGTTTTTGATTTATTAAATATGATTATTTAATATCATACAAAAAGGTGTTTTAATGGGGGGTTTGATAATTCATTTTAATTTGTTATCAAATGTTTTTCTTGATGCCAAGTTTTGTAATTATTTTACAAATTCTTATAAATAATATATTTATTATAAAGTATTGCAGAATAGTAAGATGCATTCGAGGAGAAATTTATAGTTAGCAATCATATCTGTTTAAATATGTTTGAAATATGTTATGTAAAAAGTTTAAATAATACAAACAATACATTCAGAAAAAGTTTAATAATTATTATAAAATTTAAATTAAAAAGTTTATTATTAGTAACATTTTTCATCAAAATTTAATTTTCTCAGTCCATTAATTTACAATATTTAATATTATCTACACTCTTAAAGTAAATTTTATGAAAGTAATTTAAATTTCAAACTTTTAAAATATAAATATTTTTGCATTTTATTAAAACTGAATTTTGATTGTCTAAATAACTTTTGTGACTTTATAATTATCAAAAACTATAACACATTTAGATAAAATCAACTTTTATCTGGAATTTGAACAATATAATTAGCAATATCCTTACACATTAAACAAGAATTATAGATAAAATAACAAATTAAAACATGGCCAACGTAATTAAACATTTAATAAATGTAGAATATGGTGCATTCATAAAGGTTAAAACCTTTATCATTGCTTTTTCCTTCCCGTCGTTGCACATCATCATTAGTCCATCGAAAAATTGTTGTGAAGGCAGTGGCCTATAAAGGAAGGTCGTATCTGTAATTTTTCGATGGACTACTGATGGTGTGCAATGATTATTAGTTAAATTTATTAAAGAATTATAGAATTGAATTTTACTTAGAGCAGATCTATGCATTTAGACTATCAGAATTTAATTAAATTAATATTAATATATTAAATATTATCTTTTGCCCAGTTCTAAGAAAATTTGTTAGTTTCATTGAAACTATATAGAAATGGGATAAAGCTGGTGGAAGAAGAATTAATAATTATAATTATCATTAGATGTTAGTCTAACTAACTTTAATAGAAATTACTCAATAAAGTACAGTGGTACCTCAGGATATGAAATTAATCTGTTCCGAAACTGAGATCATATCATGAAAATGTCGTAAGGTGAATAATTTTTTCTCATACAATTACATGTAAAACCAAATAATTCATTCCAACATGAAAAAACAGTAAAATTAAAGCTAAGTAGTACATTAAAACAAAAAATAACTATAGTAAGGAAAACACTGAAAAATGTGTTTTGTAGTTGTAAATGTATAAATAACCATAATAGTGTGGGGGCCGAGGGGGGGAGAAATTTAAAAATTCTCGACGAACGATAATATGTGATATGTATCATCATCGTCTCCCTTGCCGTTTGGATTGCCGAGCAGTAACAATCAACGACATGTGGAAGCAGTTGAGTCAGAGATAGATGCTTCGTTTACAAACAACACAACCGTTTATTAAACACGAAAGAAGCTTACAAGATTACTGTGATCTTGGAAGTTCTACGTCGGCTGCGGTCGCTGGGTCTTCCACTCCTGTGGTTCCACGATAGTCCCATTTTGAAGGAGTGTCCCTTGTTCGAGAATGAACAATTCCATCACGTCTCGATGACTCCGGGACGATGCGGTCGACTTCCGTTGATGGAAAGATGTCGATCCGAGGTCGGGAGATGGAGAC